CATGTAATGACGAAGCAAGCCCAGGGACATATAACCCTCCCCCTGCAGAGGGTTGTGCCAGGGGAGTGCTATGCAGTTTCCATCTCTTGAGGCTGTCATTTACAAGAACACTTAGTGCTATGGTAAATTTGTCTTCGGGGAGTGGCATACTAAGTTCTAGATTCCACTGTAGGTCTGGGGCAGATATTACTGTGCTCAGAGGCACAGAGGCAGTGCTTTCCCCTGCTCTTCGAGAGAAGTGTAGCACAAAGAACAACCCACAAGATATTATAGAAAGGCAAGAAATTGAGTAGTTGAGTCTCCCTGTCTCTGTCTCTCTCTTATACACACAGAGAGACACAGAGGAGAGAGAGTGAGCTTTCAGCACGCCCTTGAGGTTAAAGATGTAGTAAGTCATCTTGATGATAAAAACATCTCACTGAGACGATTGAACTTCAACGTCAGTGACATCCAGAAGCCACAATTGGGGTGGAGAGATGGCTCATGGTTAAAAGTACTCACTGCTATTTCTGAGGACCTGGGTTCAATTTCCAGCACCCACTTGGAGGCTCACAGCTGTCTGTAAACTCTAGTTCCAGGGGCTCCAACACCTTGTACTGGCCTTTGCAGGAACCAGGCATGTACGTAGTTTGTGCACACATATGCAGGCAAAACACTCCTTCATATAAACTGAAAATAAATAAAAGATGTATGTGTAACCTGAGGTTTCTCTCCCGCCCACCAGTTCCTGAATAACCACTCGGAGATTTAATATTACTTATAAATGCTTGGGCGATGGTTCAGGCTTATTACTAGTTAGATCTTACATTTAAATTTACTCATATTTTCAAATCTATGCTTTGCCATGTGGTTCATGGCTTGTTACCCCATTTTTTACCTGGCTTGCTTCCTTGGCAGCTGGCTGGCTGGCGTCTCCCTGTCTCTGCCCTTCTATATCTCTTCTTGGATTTCCTGCCTGGCTCGATCCTTCCTTGCCATAGGCCAAAGCACTTTTATTTATTAACAAATTAGAGCAATACACATTCACAGCATGCAGAAAGACCATACCACAGTATTTCCCTCTTTCTGTCTAATCAAAAAGGAAGGTTTTTACTTTAACAGAGTAAAGTTACATAAAACAAAATAGTTAGCAAGCAAGAATCTGTTACAATATCCAGTATAATTGTATTTGGCAAAATTAAAGAAAATACTCAAACTAAAGCCATCAGGCTTGGTGGCAAACAACAAACATCTTTATTCTCTGATCCATCTCACTGGCCCTAAAAGCTAAGGTTTTTATAGAGATTCTTCATTCATTTTCTCCCAAGACAGTCACTGAGAGTTACACCTATACTCCTAACTGTTGTGCTTTCCTGTCGCTTTAAGGGACAAGCCACGCCCACTTTCATTACCTCTGACCTGCCCGCCGCCATCTTGGGCCCTTCCTTTTCTGCTTCCTTGACGTACATACTTTTTATTATAAGGAAGACCTGGGAATGTTATGGTTTTGGTCCCTTTAAGAGACAAGCCACACCCATTCCCCTCCCCATCCACTGAAGCAGGCTGATCTTCAGCTTCTGGCCTGAGCTTGCTCTCTTTTCCATCTTCCTCTCGGAGAGGCAGCTTTGCTTCTGCCTCTCTCCCCACTTCTCTCTTCCCCCCTTCTCTGTCTCTTTCTTCTCTTCTCTCTCTCCCTCTCTCTCTGTCCCCCCTTCACTCTTCCTCCTCCATAACCCCCTGAATAAACAATCTCACCCTGTATGTCGGTCGTGTCTATCCATGTCTCTGTCTTCTGCCCGCCCGCCATGTGTCTCCCTGCCTGGGACCAGCCATTCCTCAGGGACCAGCACCCGTCTCTGCCTGGGGCCCACTGCCTGCTGCCACATGGCCCACCACCACTGCTCTGGGACCAGCAGCTGTCTCTGCCTGGGACTGGATGCTCCCAGAGCCCGCTGCCTGCCGCCACATGGCCTGCTGCCACCATTTGGGACCTACAGCATTTCTGCTGCCTACTGCCACCCGGGATCTTGGAGCATTTTTTAAAAGAACAACACTAACACTCAGGATGCTGAAGATGGAGGTTGATCATGAGTTGTCAGTCAACTGGACTGCTGGCAAAACTTTATCTTAAAAAGAAGCATGGAGTCAGGCAGTGGTGGTGTGTGCCTTTAATCCCAGCACTTGGGAGGCAGAGGCAGGAGGATCTCTGTGAGTTCTGGGCTAGTCAGGTCTACAGAGTGAGTTCCAGGACACTCAGGGCAGCATAGAGAAACCCTGTCTAAAAACAAAAGCAAAATCACTCCCCCCCCAAATCATTGTGGAAGAAAGAAAGGGAAAAATCAAAAGAAAGAAATAAGACAAGATACATTCTCCTTTTCCATGCAAAAAATTTCATGCCAGGAAATATTGAAACAAGCATGATGTGAAACAAAGATTTTAAACCAATCTTATTTTCTCCAACTGATCCTGTTAAGGAGTCATTAAATTATTCGAGAAGATTAGGTGCATGGTTAATTGGATTTGTATTAAGGCAGATTAGGAAACTACTCTTCCTTATATATGAGACCCTGTCTCACAAATAAATAAAAATATTCCCTATTTTCTAGATTCTGGAGTAAAATCTTTTGTTTCATCCCCATTACTGATAAGTTATTTCTTAAAAATTTAATTAAATACTCCCCCTCTGTGTGTGTGTATGTGTGAGCAAATTAGAGGTCAAAGAAGAACTTTGGGAATTGGGAGTCAGTTCTCCTCTGCCACTGTGTGGGTCCAGGGGTCAAACTCAGTTTCTCAGCAAGGGCCTTTACCCACTGAGTCATCTATGGCCCCTGATATTGGTAGTGTGTTCTCTCTGTCTCACTCTTCCCTTCTTATTAGAGCTTTGATTATTTTATTAATTTTTTGAAAAATATGTAAAACTGTAACTCAATTTTCTCTCTAACAATTTCAGACATGTTTGTAATACATTGTTGCTTCTCCCATCCTTACCTTTGCTTACGTTTTCAAAGAACAAATTCTTTCTCTGTGGCGTTCAGTCATCCCAGTCATCAAGAAATCTCTAAAGCATCTACTTCCTTCATGTTTGATTCGCCTCCGTTCTTCTTTGCATAGTTAACATTGTGTTTCAATTGCATTATGCATTCCATCAGCCGTTCCTGCCCTTGGCTATGTCTTAGCAGGCACTCCATCACTGGAATGCACTTTTCTTGGCCTTGCTTCTGATTGGTGACAACATCTTGCTGGTGTCTTTTATCCACATACAAACCAGATTTAACCTTGCTTAGTTTCTGAGATCAAAGGAGATGGAACATGTTCCATGTGTTGTGTCTGTAGACCTTGCTTTTATACTTAAAAAGTGATCTTCATTTCTTCATTTTTTTTGTTATGTAGCTCAGTTGACCTTCAACTCCTTAGGCATCCTTAGCTATTCTAAAATTTATGACCGTCCTCCTGCCTCATCCTCTTTAGGACCAGGATTATAAGTTTGACTTACCACAGCAGGCTCAAAAATTTTATTTTTTATCAAGATTACTTTAAATAATAATTGAACAAAAAACTTAACTTGTAATCTTTATTTAAATCCTGCATCAGCTCCTGCCCAGTGCTATTGACCAAGCCCTTTAAAAGTAGTTTTGGCTCTGGGGATCCTATTGATTGGGGGCAGCGCCTCCTTAGGAAGTTCTGCCTCAGCTTTGATCTTGGTTTTTCCAGTTTCCTATCTGCATGACCTTAGGCAAAGGGCATTACATTCCTGGTTTCATGTCTTCTCTCCTTTGTAAAATAAGATGATCTCCATTAACAGAGTGCTGTAAAGATAAATAAAATGTCTTTAATGTTACTTAGTCCCAAATAAATATTAGGAATATTTTAATACAATAAAAGTTAAAATAAATATTATATGGGAAGTATTTATGAAACTGTATTGTGATAGAATTACAAGACTGTAGGAAAAGATGTGTGTGTATTCACACATACACATTCATAAAAAGAATGAAAATACATAATTGTTACTCAGAATGATGCTTAACTTTGGATAATGGAAAATCACCATGATTTATTTATGTTTTGGTATTTTTAATTTTTAGGGTTGTTCTGTAAAAAAGTCATAACTTGCAAAAATATTTTAAAAGAATATTAATGTGTGATGGCACACTCTTACTTGGCCATGTGCAGTCCTCCAAGCTTCAGAAAGGATGTATGATATAGGAAAAAAATGGAACACAAAGCAAAATGAAGAAAAGGAGACAATGCATGCTGGAAAGATACCATGCAATGATACTGCTAAGCATTTATAGCCAGATGTGGTGGTGCACACCTGTAATCTTCAGCACTTGGGTGGCTGAAACAGGAGTATCAGGAGTTCAAGGCTAGCTTGGGATACATGGCAAAACTCTATCTCATAAATAGAAATATGAGTGTTTTTCTGTTTTATTTTAAATAGAAGACTGTCCTAGGATAGCCCATGGTTGTGAGTTAATAGGTAAGATTAACTTTGTAGAAGGAAGGCAGCATTTTCTAATACAATATAATAATATTAAAACAATAAAGAAAACAGAGAAGCATTTTACAGACATTTTCAGCAAGTTGAAGATTATGATGATTTTATTGTTGGCACAGTAGGCACCCCCAAGAAAGGCACGGTTGGTATTATGTTCTTTTGTTTGTGTGATAATCTGCCAGTTACAAATACACTACAGTTTGCTTTGGTTTCACTTAACCTGTTTTGAATAAATTGAGTGAAGACTCTGACTTCCATAAATAAAGCCAAACTGAGAGGGATACTCTTGCCCTGGCTCAGCCATTAACTCTTTGGACTGCTCCTCCCTTGGGACTTGAGAAGTCTGAACAAGAAGGTTAAACTTTGACCTTCTGATGTTTAGTGATGCTTTCACTTACTTAAAAAGGTACATTTCCTTGATCTTTCCACTTGGAGTCTTTACAGTAGGTCAGCTGTCCTATGGTATCAAATGGCCACCATGGTGTTGTGTGGTATTAACATTATCTCAACATCTTTTCCGCAGAGAGACCTCTTTCCCCTAAAGCTGTCAAAGGATTTGACGCCGCTCCACTTACCAAGAATTACTACACTGTGGTGAGTGTTCGGAGGGCAAAATTGCTTTCACTCAACTTGGAGATATTTCACTTGTCAAACCACTGATAATTTTAAGGTGACACAAAAGGAATATGGGATAAGTTGCTTTGTAAGGTTCCCCGGCCATTTGCTTTGCAATGCTATTCATATACTTGCGGCAGTCTTACAGGTGGCTGGAGGTTTCACATCTACTGTACTGGGAAGCCAAACAGCTGACATGCTTCCGAACAAGGCCTACTGACCATGGTGGAAGAGAATATGGTTAATATGTAGGCACTATGCCGAAATCGAGTAACATAGCCTAACCGTGTAGTTACAAGAAGGAATGTCCCCAGGTTTCTAAGATGGAATGCGGTTTAAGTGATTGTGGTTTGTGATTTTACTTGAGAGTCAATCAACCCACAACAGCTGCTGGAGTCTTTTTAATTCTAGCTTGTGACGAAAGCCTGAAAGGAAGACTGCCTTTTGACACAGAAGGACGGATGAAACAGCTCTGACTTGAGCATAGCTATGTCAAACTGTATTAGCTATAAATAGGGTATGTGTAATACTCAAAATAAGCTCCGGTTTGAAGAAAGAAATTGCATCACTCTCCTTAATCTGTTCTCTGCTTTCCTTCATTTCCTTTCCAGACTTGGCCTAGTCACTAATGAAAAGGTCAAGTCGTCATTACCTCTAAGTTGCCTTGCCTGGTAGCCCTGTGGTCTCTCCCACCCACTACTGAAATACAGCTTCAGTTTTTACCCAGTGTTCTCCGTGCATGTGCACTGCATGCTCATTTGATTTTGTGCATGGATACAGAGTTTTTAATCATCTCTGTGCAGGTATATGAGTGTCATTGGCTTCCAGTGAAATACAGATGTTCCATACTGGTGATATGAACAGTCGGTGATATGAAAAATCAAGAAGGAACGTCACAGGTGCCGTGGGCAACAAATAGAAAAGAACTTTTTGTTAATGATTTCCTCTTGTTTCTAGTTATAAAGGCATGATTCAGCAAAGCTAGTCTCTCAGCTCCCTTCAGTCCCCATCAGTTCTTTCGAATGACCTTCTATTGCCTTCATTTTTAAGGAAAGGATGGAGGCAAATGGCAGTTGAAATTGTGTCGTGGCTTCTCTCAGTGAATCTGCAGCATCCCAGCATTCCACTGTGCCTTTCACTATCTTCTGCCTGCAACAGTTCAGAATGTTGATGGGATAAGTTGAGATAGCTCAGTGGTACAGTGTTGTCTAGTATGCACTGCATGGACTGCAGCTTGCATAACCTATCCACTATTGAAAGGCATATATATTGTTTCTAGCTTTAGTTGTTATAAACAAGTCTGCAGGCAGTACCTTAGTCTAGAATTTGATAAGGATCTACATGATAGATTCCTGGAATTTTTGGGCTCGAAAGATATATATGCTTTTAAATTTCTGATATATCAAATCTCAAATTTAGTAAAGAAAAGAGAAGGTCTTGGGTGTTGACCAAGGTTTCTGTCCTGACTGGTCCTGCAGCCGTTCAGTCCCAAAGAAACACACAGAGGCCTACATTAATTATAAACTGATTGGTCTATTGGCTCACTCTTTTATTAACTCATAACTTATATTAGCCCCTAATTTTTGACTGTGGTAGCCACATGGCTTGGTACCTTGCATCAGTGAGTCATTCTTACCTTGCTTCCTCTGTGTCTGGCTTCCTCTGTGACAGCTGCAGACTGAGTCTTTTCTCTTCCCAGAATTCTCCTCTTCTGGTCACCCCACCTATACTTCCTGCCTGGCTACTGGCCAATCAGCATTTTATTAAAATAATACAACTGACAAATCTTTACAAAGTACAAGACCATTGTCCCACAGCACTTGGGCAACTCATACTGGCCTAAAAGGAAAACATGTAGAGCTTTTGTGTTAGTATTACATAAATAATTTTTATTATTTATTTATTTTGTTGGTTTTTTAAGTTGTAGCTCCTGCAGCTCAGATTAGCCTTAACCTTGCTATATAGTCAAGGATAAACTTGAATGTCTAATCCTCCTGCCTCTGATTTGCATGCCCAGTTTGTTTGCTTCTTTTGGGGATAGTCTCACCTTGTTGGCCAAGCTGGCCTGAAACTCAGCACATAACCCAAACTGTCCTTAGATGTATAATCTTCTAGCTTCTGCTTTCCAAGTGAAAGGATTACAGGAGTATATTACTATGTCTGGCTTATTATTGTTTTATTACTGAGTACAGATAAATTGTATGTATTACAGCTAGATATGGTTATAAAGAGATTCTTGTTGGTTAGTTATTTTTTCATTCAAAATAATTTGGAGTTGAGTATTTAGGAAAAAAAATTGTGGCAATGAATTCAAAGTATGTTATCTGATTATCCTCTATGGATATCTTAGACAAATAAAAAAATACTACCCCGTTCAGAAAACTAGAAAATCATTATTCCACATGAAAGATGTCCCCATCTAATCTTACATCAACTCTCCCCTCTCAGCACTGTTAATACAATTAATACATATTCTTTACTAAATGTAGTGTCTCAGTTTTATGCTATTAAAAATAAATCATATAAATAACAATGAAACGATATAGAAAAAAGTATAAAGAAAAAATAAGTAGCACTAATTTAAAATGATCTCTATTCATATCTAACTTTTCTGAGAAGTATATGTGTATAGATACACATATATCCATATATGTATATGGGTACATATTTTAACATAAAGATAAGATCTATGTATTCTTCATTATTCTCCTTCGTGGAAACTTTTCTTTTTTTAAATATTTATTTATTTACTTATTATGTATACAATATTCTGTCTGCGTGTATGCCTGCAGGCCAGAAGAGGGCACCACACTTCATTACAGATGGTTGTGAGCCACCATGTGGTTGGCGGAACTTTAACTCAGGACCTTTGGAAGAGCAGGCAATGCTCTTAACTGCTGAGCCATCTCTCCAGCCCAAAAGTTTTCTATATACACATTCCAGCTATATTTATCTCTCACTCAAACTTAAGGTCGTTCATACAGTGAGTCCTCACTAATACAAACTCCCTTTACCTTGGTGCTGTGTGTTAGTCACATTCTCCAGAGAAATGGGAAGGAGAGAGAAGGAAGGGAAAGGTGAAAAGAGAGAGATACTCAACACACAAGAGAAAGAGTGAGCAAAGGATCTTAGTTTTACTTCGTTTTAGTTTTGTGTTTTGAGACAGGATATCACTCTGTAACCCTGTCTGGCCTGAAACTTGATCATGCTGGCCTCCTGAGTGCTGGGATTACAGACATGCAGAACCTCACCTGACTTGGTTTTCTAACAAGTGTTTGTTTATTGCCTTTCATTGCCCATTATAAGGTTGTGTTGTAAGTGAGAAGGGGATAAAACGTAAAGAACAGGAGTAGGAAAGGACTGGATGCATCTTAAATGTTAGGCTTTAAGTCATGTGGCTTTTGCTTTTGACACCCACCGTCCCCTTGGGAGTATAGGACAAATATGGCAGCCTCAGCTGAGAATGATGCAGAACTGGAAAGCACCAGAAGATGGCAATTCAAAACGTGGCCAAGAATCTTTTGTAGCAAAAGCAGGTGGGAAGTTTGTTCAAACTAAAGGTATTGGGGGGCCCAAAGTGACTTGCTACATAAATCTCTGCTCATGAATACGGGCATGTAGTGTTTTAATCAACTCTCTGACCTCTTCTTCATTTTTCCCCTTCAACACAAAGGTGGATTGGGTGATGGTTGGAACTAAAATTTGAGGATCACTGAGGAAAGGTTGAAGGGAGGAGGTAGGGTTCAAGGCAGGTCTTTGAAGAGGGTCAGAACGCAGCTCTACGCAAAGATCTGAAAGGGAATGCAGGCGTGGCATTTGTATGAGACAATGTTCCCATGCAACAGGGGCATGCCTGCCACTCGTCATGAGGGACCCACATTATGGTTCTTCCCCCACTGAACTGTCCCTCAGAAGATGGAACTCTTTATTTCCTGCAATTACTGCAAGTAGCACACGGTGTGAAAATACTCTTGGCAAAATACATGGCAAAAGCGACTCAGGGCAGGGTCTTTAGTCTCACAGTTGGAGGATGTGGTCCATCATGGAGGCGGCTCATGTTCCACTCAATCAGGAACCGGAGAGAGATGATTGGCGCTATTCTGCCCTTTCTCCTTTCTGATTCAGTCAGGGACTCCACCTTCTGGAATGTATCACCTGCATTCAGGGCACGTATTCCCTCAGCTAAGCCTCTCTGGAAATACCACAGATATGCCAGGAAGAATGACTCCCAGGTGTTTTTAAATTCAGTCAAATTAATAGTGATGATTAATAATTACGATAGTTAAATGACATGGTTTGCAGGACTGGCATGCGCTAAGACAGGCGAGACAATGGCTGTAACATGGCAAACCAAAAATCCAATGACAGCTTTTGTGACCCTTGCTGTGGCCTTCCACTGGCTACCTCATTTTTCCTCACTGATCTCTCTACCCACTCACACCCTGAATTTTCTCGTCCATTTGGGAGCTTACCACCCCTTTCCAAATTTGTGTGTGTGTATGTGTGCGCGTGCCTGCGTGCGTGTTTGTGTGGCATGTTTGTGTGTGTTTATGATGTGTGTGTGGGCATATGTGGAGGTAAGAAGGTAATTTTGTGGAGTCAGTTCTCCCCTTCTACTTTCTTCTTTAAGACTGTCGTGCGTGCATATAATGTGTTCTGATTTACCTCTCAATCCCTTCTCTCCAATTCCTCCCTATCTGCCCTCCCAACTTTTGTGTGGTCTTTTATAAACACACCGAGTTCACGTACTGCTACTTGGATTCACATGGACATAGGACAATCTCCTGGAGCATGAGTAACCTCTCAGGACCCACAACGCTGAAAAAAAAAAGGACTTCATTTCTTTCAACACCTGCCTCGAGCGCTGGAATTAAAGAGGAACCCCGCCATGCCCAGCCTCACCCACTTCTTATTCCACAGGATAAGACTTGACACAGGTCTCCATGGAGTCTCTTCTCCATATTTCTCACTAGTTTTTA